GGCTAACAACCTCATGTTGAATTGAACATAGACAAGATTGTTCAACCGGTCGGTATCAAGTCTATTTCGTTTTTTTAGTGTGTACCTACATAAGATTTAATTTATGAGAGACAAATCCACAAAATTTGTTAATCTACGAAAGAAATTGCTATTGTAGTATGAAGTAATTACCCCTTCAAAAGTACTCCAATTTCTTTCACATCCCGATGAACTAGTCGTCAAAGATAAAATCTTCCTTGCTACTGTTTGTAGCTTTGGAACTTCAGCTCCATAGAAGTTCCACCATTGAACTAAGAAAAATATATGTGATTAGTAAACTGTACATGAGAAATAAGACACACAAATTATTAAAAAACAGACCTGGATCAAAATTTTCATCATTTGTTGAACATCCTTTAATGGCTGTTGGATGCCCAAAGTTGCCCTCTTGTTCTGCATACTTTTTAAGTTCAGTTCTGATGATATATGTCAGTATCAGTATCTTCTGGATAAAAAGCATCAAGACACTTGAAAATAGCATTGATGACATCCCGGTCGAATCGGATAGATAAATCTTTTTAAAAATAATAAGGATTCAAGAGATATGCCATCCAATGAAGAGGACTATCAAGCCGACCTTCACTCTTCTGATCAATGATAGTGAGTATTGGTTCATAGGTCTTCTCAAGATTGTTTAGGGCTTTTCGTATCTCTTTCTTTGCTTCCTCTAACTCTCCATGCAAAAAACCCATTGTAGGCCTCTGATCTCCATCAACTAATCTAAGTACTTCAACCAATGGTGCAAAGACTTTCAGGCACGTTTCCACACCATCCCAAAATTCCATACTCGTTGTTGTATGATAGGCTGCGAGTCCTTTAGGATGCTTTACCCATTGACATTGTCTCCAGTCGTTGCTAGCAAACATCATCTTTAAATTTTCTTGTTTTTTCATCAAACTTTGCAAAGTAAGAAAAGCGGACGCAAATCTAGTTACTCCATGCCTCACAATGTCACTTTTCTTTGTAAACTTCCTCATCATGGCCAAAGTTTTGTGATGGGCGTAAATGACACATGTCACGATTTTGTTAATTACTATGTTTGACGCATCAAGCTTTATATCATACTAGGTGAAAGACCCGTATATATGCGGGTTTCCGATAAAATATTTTAAAACCCGTGA